GTACTTAGGTCAGCATCGGAAACTACGAAATATCCTGTACGCAGTGCCGGATTAAAACCACGTAGAAAGAGTAGCAATGTCTACGAGCCTAATAATTGTAGATGGCTATGGGCCACAGCATCTTATCATCAGGTGGAATCGTTTGTCACCTTATACCATAAAAAAATCTTATTTTTAGAATTTCATAATGGGGATTAGTACAAAATGTATAATGGTAATATGCGTCGACGCGACCGTGCTACAGCAGATGCACGGAACCCCATTTTCAACATAGAAAAAAATTTTTTTTCGATTTGCGAAACACCTTTTAACAAAAAGCTGAGAGCCCTTATTTTTGTTCTTTGTTAATAACAGATAGAAATTTTGATTTCCCAAAAAAACCTCAAATTTTATTTCGCATCCAATGAGCGATCGTTCATATTTTTGCATTGAGTTATACAAGACTAGAGGAGCAAACCACATTACCGCGCGTCGAAAAAAGTGAAGCCACTATCTAACTTCCATTAGTATTAAGTTTCGCTCAATGTTTAAATCGTATAATCTTGTAAATTTATTCTTAGAACCAACACGTATTGCTGGGCCTAGTGCGACCTGTATAGATAACATTTTTACAGATGTTAAGCCCTTGCATAAATCAATTATTCAAAATTTAAGTTCAGATCACTGTGGACCATTAGTATCACTACCTTACATACACAAAAAACATAAAAATAAGAAAGTTGTGTTTGTTCCAATAAATGAACATCGCTTAGAGAGGTTTAGAAGTAATATAATAAAAAGACTTCCATCACTTTCGTTTAAAAATAGTGCTAATTATTTGTATGCCACATTATTTGAAATTATACGTTGTGAATTTAGTAGAATATTTACTTCTAAAACTTTCTCTTTTAACAGTCGCAAATCATTTAATGAATGGGCGACAGTAGGAATTTATAAAAGTAGGCGAACGTTATACGAGCTTTATGATGAAAGATCATATAATAGTAGTGTTATATTTAGAGATTATGTAAAAACATATTCTAAAATATTTAAAAAAGTGTGCTCCACTGCTAAGGCTTTACATTTAAGCAACAGAATTAAAACTGCATCCGACAAAATTAAAATGACCTGGAGAATAATAAATAGTGAAACGGGCAAGGTCAAACCGCGCAACTCGGATTTTCAATTGAATATTAACAATAATTTAACGCGATCTGATCAAGAAGTTGCTATGGCTTTTGAGAAACATTTTACTGATGTTCCTTTATTGACAACAAAATCATTAAATTCTTCTCCTACTGTCGTCGAATCATTGCTCAAACAAAATGTAAAGGCTTGTTCAAATACTTTAAAATTCCATAGGGTACTGCCAAAAGATATCGTTAAATATTTTAAAACTATTGATGTTAAGAAAACGGCAGACTTATGGGGGATTTCCGTTAAAGTTATTTTAGCTATAATAGATATATCAGCACCTTATCTAGCCACTATATTTAATATAAGCGTCGAATCTGGTGTGTTTCCTGATTTAATGAAACATAGTAAAGTCATACCTATATTTAAATCTGGTAGTACATTAGACCCCGCCAATTTTAGACCAATTTCTGTACTACCAACATTAAGTAAATTTTTTGAAAAAATTATTTTAGATCAGATGTTAAGTTTCTTTAATATTAATAAATTGCTACATAAAAATCAATTCGGTTTTACAAGGGGTCGCTCGACAACTGACGCTGGAGTTGAGCTTATTAAACATATTTTTTGTGCATGGGAGAATTCAGAGGATGCTTTGGGTATATTTTGTGACCTTTCCAAGGCCTTCGACTGTGTTCACCATGAGACATTAATCAGGAAGCTACAGTACTATGGTGTCAAGAACACAGCGCTTAAACTTATTATTTCATATTTAAGTAATAGAAAACAGAAAGTTATTATCAATGGTAAAAGTTCTTCTGGGTCACCTGTACTAATGGGTGTACCTCAGGGCTCGATTCTCGGCCCATTCCTGTTTCTGGTGTATATTAATGACTTATCTCACCTTGTAGGTGATAGTCATGATATAGTATTATTTGCTGATGATACTTCCTTGATTTTTAAACTTAAACGTCAATTATTTAGATGTGACGAAGTGAATAATGCTATATCAAAATTAGTGCATTGGTTTAACGTTAATAATCTGCACTTGAACGGAAATAAAACTAATTGTATTAAATTTACAACAACGAATGTTAAAAATCTGAATACCAATGTGTTTTTAAATGGGGAGGAATTGAGCCCTGTTGTATCCACTGTTTTTCTTGGCATCACTCTTGACGCAAAGCTCCAGTGGGGCCCCCATATATCCAAATTAGCAAGCAGACTAAGTTCTGCAGCCTATGCTGTAAAAAAGATTAGAGGTCTCACTAGTGTCGAGACAGCTAGATTAGTTTATTTTAGTTATTTTCATAGCATAATGTTTTATGGGATTTTGCTATGGGGAAATGCGGCTGATTCAGAAACTATTTTTGTTTTACAGAAGAGGGCCATTAGAGCTATTTACAATCTAAAACCGAGAGAGTCTCTTAGAGATAAATTTAAAGAAATTAATATATTAACTTTGGCCTCTCAGTATATTTACGAAAATTTAATGTATGTTCACAAAAACAAAGATAGTTTTAGTAAAAGAAGTGATGCACATTCTGTAAACACTAGGAACAAACACAAGCTAGTGATACCAGTTTCTCGACTCCACAGAGTCAGTAATTCATTCTTGGGGCAATGTATACGCTATTATCCCGGAAAGTGTACAGGTTCTCTCTATTACCAAGTTTAAATGTTTTATTAAGCTGAAACTGTATAAAAAGGGTTATTATAGTATAAATGAATACATGATTGATAATAACCCCTGGGAATGAGGTGATCGCTTCCAAGCAGTTCCTAAAATAAATTTTGTAAATAGTTCGTAATCATTTATATTGTAAAATTTATTTTAAAAAAAGTCCCGCTGGGTTTCTTGCTGGTTCTTCCCAGGACAGAGGGTTTTTTTCGAACCAGTGGTAAAGTAAAAAATGACTTTCAATAAGAATTACACATGTAATGTATATTGAATAAAAAAAAATAACCGCGATGACGTAGCTTTGAAACCACTAAACCTTTTTGAAGTAAACATATATCTGTCTCACTTACACAAGTCGCGAAAACAATACCGTCGCTAAGATTAGATAAAGATAGACACACAAACATGCAGTGATGGGTTGGTATTGCCTACTATATGAAATTTTACCCAAAAATAAGCAATAAAAAGGAGTTTTTTTTTAAGCTGCAGTAATTTTTATTTTTATTTTAAATATGTATCTTTGGTTATCCGATGAGTAGAAGTATAACTAATGAAATGAAAGATATTTTTTTTCGAAGTATCTTTTATTGTACTGATAACTCAAACAAAAAATAAATGAAGTAAAAATATTAATTTTGGGTTTCTTATCAAGAAGATCTGAGTTTGAAATATGCATCAATTGTGAAAGCATCGGCAAGTCTTTGTCTCCTAAATTTGATCTCATAACATACAAAAACTGGTTATTAATAAATTTTTAAGATAATACTAAATGGTGTTAATCTATCGTACTAATCCGCTTAAATAAACACGGTCGCCATCGCTTTTTCGTCCTAGTTTGTCTTGATCCCGGAAGTGCTTAGAACTAATGAGAGTAGATTTCGAGAGTGAGTTTCTTTTCTCATCAATCGTATTATTTCCACCAACTTCTTACGGTGTGCTGCATCTTGAGGTACCCTGCAAAATTATTAATATAAAATAGATAATAAAATATAATTAATAGATCTCTAGAATATTCTAAAATAAGAATAATTAATTCCTTTTTATAAAGGTTGAAACATAGTTTTTATTAAAATTTCCAAAATATTTAAAATCAAGGCTAACAAGTTAACTTATTCCATAAATTATATAGTCGTAGTAGTGTAATGTGGGAAAATTGTAAAGGCAAAAAAGTGGCAACATTGAACCTAAATTGCAATATTCGATATTTTATTTCATTTTTTTGTGTTTTTTACGTTAATATGAAAACATAAACTAAAACTTACGTGTGGAAAGTGATTCCGCTTGATTAATTATGTTTTTGTGACTTTGAATCGCATTCTTTCACTACGTATTTACCCATTTTTTGTCGTGAATCGTTCGGCTCAACTCGGTCGGCGTCGCATTGAACACTGAACCGACGTTAGCTGGGCATATGGCTGTGGCCATATGTGAAGTGGCAACGCTTTGGCGCGGCAATTACTTATCTAGTGTAACATATAAATCAATGTATTTTTGCCACAATTCTAATAATTTTTCGCAGGAAACTCACTTCTCGACTAGACTACCCGTAACATAGTAATGATTACAATTCTACATTGGGATTAGAACTGTTCTCTTCTCTCCGTGCAGTAATCGAAAACTAATTACATAACATGAATTGATTATAACTGGAATTCTCACTTGAAAGCTTATATCTAACAGGCCCTATAGTAATCTTCTGTACTGTTAAACATCACAAAATTGTAACCTATATAGATGGCAAACAAATTTATTGAGTATTAAATTGTTTTTACCACTTTATACTTAAGAGCCCATAGCAGATCAAGGTTCCCACGATATAATTTGCTACAAGCCCCGCGCTTGCTTAATCCGGCACTTGCTGTACCTAAGTGTAAGCTTGCCCTACGTCAAGACCCTGGGCACGCAACTGTTTAGTAGTGCAAGTATTCAATTTATAGTACATATAAAAATAAAATATTAAAGTAAACTATGAAACACATTTTATCTAACACCTTAATCTTGACGTTTCCTTGTGAAATATATTACGTAACTGTAGAAGCTGTAAATTGTAAATCGAATCGAAAAATAATAACCGCCATAATAATAGTGTAAATTTTTACTAAATATATGTGTAAGCCAACATTGTAAATATTTAACACTTCTATAGATATAATTTATTTGAAAGTTCAGTAACTAGTTACGTAGTTATTTTTTCTTTATTTTTCAGAACGCCGGGTAGCTGTTGTTCAGCCGATTACTGTTTCGTTGACATGAAAATTATTGAAAGAGTTAAACTTCGCTTCTTCTTTCATCACAATGTACCTGTTTTTCCATATCAGTTCATTTTGGTGTACCTCTTGAAGAAAGGTCGCGTAGATGACGAACAAAAATATATGCTACAAGACAGCTCAAAATTTTTATCAGAGGATACGATTTGTTTCCTAAATAATACTTTTTAATCTAAGAATAATTTTGAGTTTGTGCAAATTTTAGATAATTATTCTTTTGTTAATGATTAAAATTTATAAATTGTTTATTTTAACGGTGCATGTGGGTTCAAATTTATTACGAATTATGTTATACATTTACATTACACATTATATTTTGCCATATTATAATAGTATATATTATATTTTAAATAAATAGTTTTACTCTTTGTGTTATTTCATTTCTTATTACAATACTGTCTATACCTAACCAATGGTATTTCTTGATGGTTTTGACAGCGATATCCCTCATGTTTCTTTTGCTTTATCTTCACCTGTAATCATTTATAGATTATGATTGCACTAATTAATTGTAACAAAAAACAACTAAAACTTGAACATGAAAATAATTCTAAACAGCAAAAGAATGTAAAGAACTGCGTTGAAACAAGCACATAATCTTTTAATCATCCGATTTCAAGGCAAAGTTCAGTACAAAACCTAAGCCGGAAAACCAGCTGCCACATTCTGGGAAAGGACTAAGCCTTAAAAGCGATGTTCACATTTGAAGTGTATATGAATTATGTAAATAACTGCTGCCCATTAAATTTTTGGATCTAGATATCAAATTATCGACACTAGTGTAAAGTACAAAACTATTTTGTGTACAAAATTCACTGCTGAACATAGGTCACTTTCCTTGTAGAAAAAAATGGACAGTACCTGTGCACCCACCATTGAATGCATAGGGAATGCCTGTTTATTCATGCATCCACTTTAGTCTGACTTGATCAAAAAAACAAAAGCTCCTATCACGAAAAATATTAGTGGTATGTTAAGCGCGGGGTGGGATGGCTCTGAGCCACTCAAATCAGTGGACATACATTGCAGTCTATTAAAAGTTATAGGAGAGAGCCAAAGCCCTGAAAACTTTCAGCTTTTATACGTGGTAGAGTCATGCTGCAGCTATATTTCTGGTATAGTTGTAGCACGAATGGGTCAGCTCGACCGGGGAAGGACCACGTTCTCACGGAATACCAGCGTAAAATAGCAGCTTGATGCAGCTGTGTTTCGTATGGTGAGTGTAGAGAACCAGAGACCCTTTTTACTGGAAACGAGGCATTCCATCTTAGTCCTCACGGGTGACAACGCATCTGCATTTTGATTCATAATCGAGGATAAATGTAGATGTCAATGGGCCACAACAACCACTTACCATCAGGTGGACTGTGTGCTCGTTTGTCACCCTTATCCTATAGAAAAAAGCTCGAATTACAAAATCATTCTTTACTTTATGGCTTCTCAAAAAAGAATTCTGTCAATTTTAAATCAGTCATGGGAGTTACAAAAAATAATTTCAGTGCCTAGAAGTGGACGATATAAATGACAAGCTCGTTGAAACTGGCCATACGCAGGTGACACTTAATGTCATGGTTGATAGACGGGAAATGAAGCTGCAGTTTGCAACAAAACTCCAAACGAATGTGAGGAAACTTACGTCACTCGTATGGCTTCTGCCAATAAAGTCTGATCTGACTGCTGGAAAGAGCTAATTGCCAAAGCTATAGACCGATTTTGGTAGTGTCATTTCTGATTTTATTGATATTGAGTCAGTACGAATTGTCTCGCATGTAGACTTGACGACTTCCAGCAATAGATGTGCCAACTCGGAAAAATCACGACTCGAGTTAACTGGAGTTGAAATTGCAACACAACTTGAGTTAGCAGGACAAAAGAGAGTAAATGATTTGTTACAAATTACTTTCTTATAAATTTGTTTTTCAATCTACCTAACTTTGATGGGTTGGGATAGCTATCCTTACTAAACCTGGTAAGATTGAAATGTATTTTTGGTTTCAATCATAGTTATAGTAAGTAGGTATCTATATTCACCTATCAACAAAACTAGCTGTATAGCAGTCCTCACAAAACAATATCAGACTGGTTTTAAGATGTAGATACATAAGCTATTCATAGTTTAATTATCTCAATTACAATATTATTTAATAACTTAACTATTATAAAATTCTAAATAACAAATTATTTTGGTAGTAGCTAATACTTTTCGAAACACAATGCGCACGCACAATCGCACATAGCGAACGAATCTCGGTCTTAGTGTTATTATGCCTCCTCTACACTACTCGCGAAGTAGATCGAAGTTGGACGAGGCGAATAGTGTAGAGGGGTACTTCGATTCACTTCGTGCAACCTCGCTTCACCTCGGGCGACTTCCGATCGCTGTCGGTTTTTTGCGCCCGAAGTCAAAGGACTTCGCGAAATACCCCGAAGTTACACGAAGCATCTCACTACACTTACTACACTACACTACTCGGCTTACGCCAGTTATGAATATTTTTTTATATATAAATATTAAATATGTAGCTTACTACATAATTATTTATTTAGTTAACGCATTGACGTCGTACTGTTTACACAATTAGGTACCTATAGCAGCTGCCTCTTGAACGTCATTCATGTTAAGGGTGCGGGAAACTCAAGACGACTGATCTCTTCGCGAAGTAGCACGAGGGTGTGGTCACGTTCTTCGGAGTGCGATCGACTTCGACGAGCACTTCGTCGAAGTTACTTCGCGAGTAGTGCAGAGGAAGAACGCTTTCGCTGGCTCACTTGATTCGTTCATGTACTGCCCGCCCAAACTCGAGTTAGAGAGATCTAACACGAGGTAACTCGAGTTGACCTATCGCTACTTCCAGCCTCGCGAACAAACATGTTTTCGAGAAGGCTTCCGCAACATAGGCAACAAACCAGTCTACGTTAAGTACTTTCAGCGGTGCAAAGTTAACTGTTTGTAGGTACCTATATCGAAGTTCAGAAGTGCAAGTATTTGTACAGTAAGGCTACGATGGCTGAACGAGTACGACAAGGTGACATTATATCCCAGAAACTTCACCGCTGCTTTGGAAGACGTTTCAACATAAACACGGACAAGACAAAGGTCATGCGTAACGTCCATATCACACATATTACATGTACGGTCGATGTTATTGACAAGACTTGTGTGTTATTGACAACACTTAGTGTTATTACTTATTAACTACTTACTACAATTTTTCGGACTAGGTCAGACTCGGTTGGGTAACGTTCGGGAAATCAAGACACATCTTTTCATGTCGTAGGTATACCACAAAATTTGGAAAAAAAAAATAAAGAAATACTGCAACAAGTCTGTGTCGCCAGTTATAACATATGGATCTGATACGTTGTCCTTCACTGTTGGCTTGATGAGAAAGCTCAATGTAGCTCAGTCAGTTATGGAGAATGTTATTCTTGGAGTTTCTCTGCGTGATATACTTCGGAAAAAGAATGTCCGCAATAGAAACTGAGTTACCGACATAGCCGAACGGACAGAAAGCTGAAGTGGCAATGGGCTGGCCATATAGTTTCAAAATCCGAAAACCTATTGGAAAGAAAGAATTTTGAGTATAGCAGCCACGTACCGGCAAGAGAAGTGTAGAGCCACCCCACATCTTCTCTCGAGGAGTGTCCGCCATGGGACTGCTGGAGCTGGTGTGTCAGCGGATGTGTGCAAAAGTGTTCCCGTGGCCCTACCCATATGCAGCAAAGGTGGAACACCATGGGATTTTAGTCGGTTCTAGTCCGATATGACGCGAGGCGGGTATGCGTATTTAAAAAAAAAACGTGTGCAGTTCACACGCAGTAAAAGTGAAACCTTCAAATTAAAAAAATATATAAAACCTTAGCTTATATAAAATGTCCAGATTCCACCGTGAATTGAAGCCAATTTACAAGTAGTCAATATTGACTACTTCGTTCGATTACCGCGTCACACGCCAAGGAACGTTCCCCGCTTAAACACGTTACGAGTCGGTGGTTTGATTTTGAAAAAATGACAGTTTGTGCTGTGAAATCGTATAAAAATTACACTTCAAAAAAAGAAAAGTGCCTTAACATATTATTTATTCAGTGATTTCATTCATATCACTTTGTATTTCTTTGTTACCGACTTTTAAATATGAAAACGAAAAACATTGTGTAGATTTATGGAATGTTTGTAAAATGTACGAACATTTCATAAACTCACACAAGCACACCACACAGCGGTTGCACATAAAAATTACACTAATGAAAACAAATAACTTAAAATACTTAAAAAGTCCCATATTTTTGGGGTAATTCTGTGCCGCTGGTATCACACGCGTATTGCATGCAAACGAAAATGCGATACGTATTACGTAATATCTCCGTAGGAGTAATAGTGTTCTGTGTGTAATATACTCGAGAGTGTAGCGTTCACTCACACACGTATAAAAATTGGCTTCACGATAAATGTACAATACAATACAAATGAACACGGAATCTGGACATTTTAATCTAAGTATAAAACAAAACATTTCACAGCATATGATTTATTTATTTGATAATTTTCAAACATAAGTGCGGCATAAAATATAAGATAAAAGTTTATTTTTTACCAAAATAAATGTTACGATCCTTATTTTTAGACATGTAGAGCCTAAATATTATAAATCGAACTGGTATAATAGTTCCAGTGATTAGAGTGGAAGAGGTTTTTTATTTAAACACAAAATACCTCTTCCGCTTTATTACATTAGTATAGATTCTATCTCATTCTCTCTTAGGCCTATCCTATAGATTTATATATTTGTCTCTTTTGTGTCGCTTTTTCGTCGTTTCTTTGAGTTTCAAGTCACAACGATGCTAAAGATCACTTCAAAAAATAGGGCAACCCCAGAAAAGATGATGGCGTAATGACCTGATAAAAAAGCAGGAAGTCAATGGACGCAGGTAACTCAGGGCCTTGCTTTGTGCCATTTCTTGGAGGGGCTTATGTTTAGCTGTGGACTTGTGAAGGGCAGTAATGTAAAATTAGGTCTAATTATCTAGAAACAGCTGATTACAATAAACCAGAACTAAGCATGTGCCGACGGAGTGAATACTGGTGCGGCAATCCGCGGCGTCAATAATAAGCCCTTATTTGAATATCGCTATAATAACCTTCCCCTTTCTAAAAAAAAATTGCCATAAAA